CCCTGTTCCCCCGAGCGCCGCAAGGAGTGACCAGGAACAATGGTCACAAGCTGGCGGAGGGAAGGTTTAAGTTGGACATCAGGAGGCGCTACTTCACGGTCAGGGCGGCTAGGGTCTGGAACCAGCTTCCAAGTGAGGTGGTGCAGGCTCCCACCCTGGGGGTTTTTAAGAGGAGGTTGGATGACCACCTTGCCGGGGTCATTTGACCCCAGTGCTCTTCCTGCCATGGCAGGGGGTCGGACTAGATGATCTGCTCAGGTCCCTTCCGACCCTAGAAACTATGAAACACCAGTGGGGAGTGAAGTCAGGCACAGTGGTGGGTGTGGGGGGGGGATGCTGATTTATCCAGGAGGCTGGCAGGTGCCCCCCTCTGAGGGAACTGGTCACTGCGAAACGGGAGCAGCTGTCAGTGCCCAGAGGGAGGGTACTGGGTTTGAAGACAGGTTCAGTGGCTGGGGTTTAGCAGAGTTGGAACCAAGCGGCTGCCTCGGGGGAAGTGGGAATCTGCAAATGGGAGGGGCTGAATCTTGGCAACACGCTGGGCTTTGCACAGCAGAACATGCCAGGCGTGACAGCCAGCCACGAGCCAGTCACCCGGACCAAGGGGAGGTATCGCCAACGGTGGTACCTGGTGGGGAAGGACATGAAGAGGCTATCTTGTTTCACAGCTGCTTAATTTGTTTTGGGAGACAGTCAGATGGATTTATTCTTGGGGGAGGGGAGTGTCTTCTCTGCTTTTTCTCCAGCAACGGGTGAGCCTCATGCTATTCAGAAGGTCAGTGTGGACAAGCCCCTGGGCCTCCAGCTTTGGAGGGACTGAAAAAGGCCACCAGTGCTTTCAGTCAAGGCTCCTCATTACTGCCTCCCCACCCATCACTCAGCACCTCCTTGCAAACCGGATCATCTCCATTTCGCAAGAAAGACCTTGCTTCTGTGTGGTGCCAGAGCCAAGGAGAGCGAATTGCAGCCTGATTGTAGACGGTGAGTCTGGAGTCACAACAACTGATCCGTGCCTGCTGGCTGCTCCCCTGGTGAAAGGAGGTTATTTGTAGAAGCGCAGGCTAGGAATAGGAAGCGGGGGGTTTCCAGGACAATTTGGATCTTAGACTACTTGGTAAAAATGAAGCATTAGGTCACTTCCTGGATGCCTGATATGCCCTTCCTTGCACCTGCCTTTGGAATAGGATCTCTGGCCCTGTGGAACAGCCGTCCTCCTCCCATCGGGAACAGCCAGAGTTCCTAGCTTGCGCGCACAAGCGCCTTGTGCACATGGGCTGTTTTTTTCAGGGCTCTGTTTAATATGAGAGGGATTATTTGGGTATATTCAAATCTCATCACTGCACTTAAGTCTGACCTGCAATGGTCAGGTCAGCAGCTGAGTCTTTCCTTGGGAGAAGCCCTAAATGAAATCTCACTCGGTGTACAGCAAGTGGTGACATTGGGGACTTGCAAGTGGATCGTGATAGTGAAGTGCAGGCTTCTCTCAGGCTAAGGCTGAGGCTTTTTGGGTGTGTTTTCTTCAGCTGTAGCTACTGTCCTGGCTGCTTTTCTGGGAGGGAATAAAACCTAGTAAAATCTGGAGAGGTGTTAAGGGCCTGCCCAGCTGCAGGTCCATAATGTATGAGTGTCCAAACCCTTGTGGGAGGAACGGTGTGTGTTTGAGCGCTGTCTTCTGCATTGCACAGCAGTCGTGCAAAAGGAGGGTTTATTTGGGCCCTGTGTGCACTGTGCAGTTTTGCTGGTGTAGCTGCCATGGCATGTGTGCATCTGAGAGTTGTCCCATAGCTGTGGACACCGCTGTGCAGCCAGGGCAGGCTGTTGCTAGCTTAGCTAATGTCAGTCAAGGAAGCGGTGCAGCTGTATGGGGAGAAAAACCCTTTCTGCTGCCATGTGCTGGCAGTCTGGCTATGGCAGAATTGACTCCTTCGTGTGACTCAGCCCATGGAAGGCCACGTAGCCCCAAAGGAGGAGTTTGGGGGTGGGGGTGGGTCTCAGGAGAAAACGTGGAGGTGGGCTGCAGGGTAGGGAGGGCTGTCATTGGAGACCCAAGCCAGCTACTTCCTGGATGGGACAGTCGTGCTTTGCCATGTGTTGGGGTGGGGGGGGTCACATGTGCTGTTTGCTGCCCCTCTGCTTAAGGAAATGGGATGTGGGTGGGTTTCTGCAAATGCACGACACCAAGAAAATGCTTGACTTCGCATCAGTGCTTTCTGCCAATGTATTAATTTATTATTGCTTCCTTTACTTAATTGCTATGCTGCCCTTCCCAGCAAGGGCTCAGGGTGGCAGCAGGAGAATGGAGCAGAGAACACAATCGAGGGAACATGCGTTGTTATCCAGGGCAGGGAGCAGGAATTGCTTCGTGACTCCAGCTGGTGGTTTGCATGGAAGCAAGAGGGCTTAGATGCTCGTGCCTGACTACCGGAGCGGTTCTTAGTCAGCAGTCAACCTTGTTAGTGCTGTTTTGCCTCAGTAATATCCTGCGCACGGTCAGTTCTGTGGAGCCTCTTCAGTGGCGGGTCCTTTCTGTGGCTTGAAGTGCGCTGCCTTTTAATTGTGGCGTGTGCCCTGATACTCCTGCACTACAGGAGAGGAGCCAGGTTTCTGTGCTCCATTCCTATGGTCTCTTCTGCTCTTGTCCTTTCTCATCTCTCCCACGATTCTCCAACCACTTCTGTTTTCTTGAAACTTGCAGCGAGCGGGATCGTGGCTGTAGCAGGGGCCTCTGCGCTGCTCCTTTCAGGCAGCTTTTCTTTATGAAGTGAATTGGAAGACTCTTTGACTTGCAAATCAAATGCATCCCATCCAAGAATTTAATCCTTTGCAGTTGCTGTAATGCAAGCCAAATCTGTTTGTGGCGATTGGATGGCACTTAAGGGATTAGTCTGGCCTGCCAAGATCGTGTATTAACCCAGCCTGCAGCCGTGTATCTCGTTGGGTCCTGGGGTTTTCCCCATGGAAGCTTGGTTGTAGTTTCTTTTATCTTTAATAGTAAACCCTTCCAATAAAGTCCTTGGTGCT